ATATATATATATATATATATATATATATATATATATATACATAAACTTTCGGCTTGTGTTTTGTTAAACTTTTTATTGAGTATGATATATATACACATATAAAATATACATACATATGTATGATATAAATGTATATATTGCACTTACTCAGTAAAAAGTTCCATTTCTTATCTGAGTCATGACTGTCCTCAGACCTCTTGTGAAGCCCAAGATTGTCAAAAAAAGGAGCAAAGTATTCCTCTGGCACCAGTCAAACTACAAAGGTAAATATAAGCATGCTTGGTGGAAAGCAAGCAGAGTTGGCAATAGGAAGTGGGGGCGACTCATTATCCTGATGCTCTTAGCACTGGTTAGTGGAGAGACAGGAAAACAAAGCAGTTGCTATCCAGTTGTTCTCCAGATGTTCCAGGCCGGTGGCTTGAGGGAGCTAGAGTCTTACTCTGTTGAGATTACTCAGTTTTCCTCCAGGAACTGTAATGGAAGTTTTGGTTTCTTTTTATGTTTCATAAATATGGTTTTGTTTTGATCCCAAGTGTGGGCTTTTAGTTGGGCTATAGTTTGTCCATGATTGTTAATTGTCACGTGCAGAGCATGATCTTTGCCAGCTGGTAACAGCCTTCCATGTGCGGCACGGAGAGTGGCATAGTGTAGGACTCTGAGAGTACAAATACAAGAGCCGAGAAAGTGGTGGTGGCCTTCAGTGTTTGTGTGTGGTGTGTAGCAGTTCGGAGAGGCCAGAGACAGTGTGGTGGTTTGGAGTAGACAGATGGAGAGAGACGCTTCGGGGTGCAGCATGGAGGAGCCGGCTGGCTGCATTTGTGGTTGACAGGGATTGGTGTAGAGCCCTAAAAGAACCCTTGACTGTAAACAGCCGGGAGAAGTAAAGGGGAATGGGCCCTCTCTCCCCACTAACCTTTTCTCTCCCACTTAAGGGTTGGGAGGTTAGAAGGGAGGTTGAGGCCTAAACACCCCAAATAAAATAGAGTTTTTAAAAAGAGTGCTACACGGAACCCCAAAGCCACTGTGAAATGAGTAGCTCAGTGGGCCATCAAAATCACCAGTCCTGGCGTCAGGTTGTACAGCGAAACAAATAGCTCATGTGCTCACTTTATTTTCATTTAATAAAAGAGCAGGATAGCAGGAAGAATAGACCTGTGTGTTTGCATATTCAGTTTCAGTCTGTATCCAATCCAAGCAGCCAAGATTTTGTGAGTGATTGGTCGTAGTCTGGTGAAGCCGAGAGGTATGTTAGGTCCGTGATGTTCTTGATTACTGACTTGACCATGAGGTATGCTGTGGTTTTGTCTGTCTGAATCTGAAACTACTCTACCGTTTGCTTTCCTTTGCTGTTACTGCAAATTCACACTTATGGCAGATGTGGCATTAATACTATTAATTATTAATATTGTTTAACCAGCATATTTATTTGCATACACTAGTGGATCTTTAGTAAATCTTTTGGGGCCCAGAACTTACCTTAAAATAATGTGAATGTATTCTGTCTCAATAGTAAATCCAAGGTTTTATTTTTGGCAAATTGTGCACCTTTGCAGTGGCATAAATGTGGTAGAAATTCTTGTTTGGTAGAGATTTGGCTGTCCTAATTAATATTATTTACTAATACTGTGCATTCTTTGTTTCTCCTGCTCTGAATTTCAGTTTTTAGTTTTTCATGTATTTGCAAGTTGAAAATTGATTCAAATTAGGATTTTTATGCATTATTGTAGAATTTAATTTCACACATTATAGATTTTGAAACTTATTGTAATCTTGGCTCAGAACTATTGTTCCGAGTCACAGTGTAACACAGTCTGTTGGTTGAATCTAATTAACGTGTCGTATCACTTGCATACAATATGTATCTGCCTAGAATATTCTAAAAATTCTCACTTGGGACTAGTACAACCCTCACTTCTTGGCTTGATTGAAAAACTCAGCAATATTTGACACACTGTGTAACTTATTTAAGAGGTAGACTTCATTTATCTTTTGCATTTGTTGGCTATTTTAACCAAAATGCTGAAATGTAATTTTCAGCATGATTACTTAGAGATTGTGTATTAATCTTATTAAAGTCACCTATTCATTTGCTATCACTGTATTTGAAGACAAGCATGGCCAAACTGCAGTTCTGGTGCACAAATACTAGAGTCGTCTACGTAATTTATAAGTCAAAGTTGGAGAGCCTGAAGGTAGAATTGCTTATCAACTGTTACTTCAAATTTAAAGGAAATGAATAAGTAGTTTCTTTATGAGATTACATTTTTATAGTTTTTATAGAGTTGACTATGGTGCTGTCATTGTATGTTGGAGAGATTGCTTGCCTTTCTTAACACCATGTGCAAAATGAACAATTTCAAGGCTGCTAGAATTCCCAGGATTATTGTTAGTCCGTGATCTTTCTCCTCCTCCCACTTGGCTTTCACCCACTGTTGGCTCTTGTTCTCATTTGCAAGGTAATCATCTTTTAAATAAAGAAGCAGGGTTAAGGGGCACAGCCCTGGCTAGCACAGGGCCTTCTGTCGAGATGCCCTTCTTAGCAGCACTGTTCCTGAGGTCTTTTCTGTCTGGTCTTCAGATGTATGTATGTATGTATGTATGTATGTATGTATGTATGTATGTATGTATTCATGTATGTATTCACCCCTCTGTGCATTTGTAGGCTTCCTGTGTGTATAGCACAGAACAGCAGAAGAGCTACTTCTCTCTCTGTCTTTTTCTAGCCTTTGAAATTTTTTTGTACTGTAACTGTATTTCTCTCCTTTGGCTCTGTGGATATTTGGGACCAGCGTCCTTTGCTGTAGGTCATGCACTTTGCTGTAGGGCTGAGCACTGGGGTGTACGTCAGTCTTATGGCCTGCACTTACTAGAGGCCAGGCATACCCCCCATCGTGCACTCTAGCAACGCACAGGCTTCGTTTGTTGTATTACAAACAGTTGTGTAATAATTGATACCATTTACATTTTCTACACCAGATTATTTGCTTGGATTAAATGAATGAAGTTGTCAAATATACAATTTTGAATGTCTTAATACATATTTACAAGTTATTCTTCAGAAAAACTTATACTTTAGCATAATATAGAAATACTCCTGGTCCTGAACTCTTTCCACTAATAGTATATGTGTATTTAAATAAATAGCTTTAGAAAGTTTTGATAGTTTATATGTTTTTCTAGTTTCAGCCACTCAGGTTGAAGCAGGAAGATAACTTGAGCCCTGGCTATTCTGGGCACATAATGAGACCCATCTTACAAAACCAAAACAAAACATGTTTATCAGTGCTATAAAAGCAATATCTTACTTTTTTTTTGTTTTTTGTTTTTGTTTTTGTTTTTTTCGAGACAGGGTTTCTCTGTGTAGTCCTGGCTGTCCTGGACTCACTTTGTAGACCAGGCTGGCCTCAAGCTCAGAGATTCTCCTGCCTCTGCCTTGCTGAGTTCTGGGATTAAAGGCATGTGCCACCATGCCCTGCTTAATATCTTACATTTAAAAAAAAAAAGATTTATTTTTTACTTTCATTTTATATGTGAGTGCTTTGCCTTTATGTATATATGTGTACCTTATGCCCGTAGAGATCAGAAGAGGGGATTGGATCCCCTGGAACTGAAGTCTGAGACGGTTGTGAGCCGCCGTGGTGCTAGGAGCTGAATTTGGATCCTTTGCAAGAGTAGTCAGTGCTTCTCATTGCTGGCCATCTTTGCAGCCCCCCTTTCCTTGAGACAGAGCCTGTTCTTGTCCCTTTCTGTGTGTGCGTGCAGGAACGTATGTGCGCATTGCAGATGCATGTGTGGGGCGCAGAGGACAGCTTTTGGTTCATGCCTCCCACCTTAGTGACACAGGCTCTCTTTGCTTCTGCTGTTGTGCCGTGTAATTCAGGCTGGCTCTACTACTGGCTTCTGGCTGACTGTGTCTGTGCTACCTCTGTCCATGTAGGAGTGCTGGGTAACAGATGCATCACCTCATAAGGGTTTTAAAATGGGGGTTTCTGGGATTGAATCCTGGTTGCCCAGCTTGTATGACTAGTGGCTTTATCCACTGAGCCATCTCGCTCACTCCTGTTTGGTTCTTTTGAGACTGGTCTCACATAGTCTAGCTTGAACTTGGACGTGCTATGTATCGTAGGATGACCTTGAACTTTTGCTCTCAAGTGGTAGGACTACAGGTGAGTGCCACTACACCTGGTTTTAAACAGTGCTAGGGACTAAACCCATGTTAGGCAGTCACTCTACCAACTGAACCACTCTCCAGCCCTTAAATTGATTTTTTTGTTAGATTACTTGAACATAATTTCATGCTTATTGGCCACTTAAATATCCAGTCAGTAGTCTTTGTCTGTTTTCTTTTAGAATATATGCTTTTTGTCTAATTCCTTCCTTAGTCAAAAAGTATTAATTGAGCTCCTTAAACACACTAGGGATAGACACTATTCTAGGTCAGCAGAATGGCAAAATCCTTGTATTAGGGAGCTTGTGTTTGAATGTAATGAGGCATAAAATAATTTTTCTATTATAAAAATAATCTTAATATAAGTTTATTGTAAAATTTTGTATTATAAAAATAAATGTAAATATTTTTATTTATAAAAAAATAAGGGCTGTAAAACATATAGGAATGACTGGTTAACATGGGCAGGGCAGGGCAGTCTTCACTGGCATTTAGGTGGAGATCTGAAGGAGACTGAAGCACACACTCCGCTGGCATCCAGCACAGGCATGTCAGGCAGAGGGGACTATGGGTGCTGAGGCCCACGGCAGGCTGCTTTCACGAGTGGCTATAGTTTGGTGAGGGAGAGTAAGGCATTAGAGTTTTAGAGGTAGCAGGAAGTGGGGATGGGGCCCGGAGAGATGGCTCAGCAGTTAAGAGCTCTTCCAGAGGTCCTGAGTTCAATTCCCAGCAATCACATGGTCGATCATAACCATCTAAAATGTGATATGATGCCCTCTTCTGGTGTGCATGAAGATAGTGTACCCATATAATAAAACAAATAAATATTTTAAAAAGAAAAAAAAAACTGGGGGGGCGGGGGGTTGGAAAGAAGTGGGATGGACCAGAAGAAACAGACTACCCTGAGCCAGATGGGGGAGCCACTTGGGAGAGGGCTTAGAGTAGTGAGGCACCATGACTTGCCACACTATTTGAAAAGAATGTAAGAGGTAGTGAGTGAAGACTAGACTGTAGGGACAGTGATGCAGTCTGGATGACCAGTGAGCAGCCTCTTGCAGTGTGCTCCAAGGGAGAGGCATGAGTGGCATCGGTGAGATTGCTGGGGATATTTTGAACATAGCCAAGATGCTGAGGAGTTGAGTGTGGGTGTGAGAGGAGGAGTAGTTGACCTGACGGTTGGCAGAGTGCTTCCACTACTCACCAGGGTGGGGAGGCTGGTAAGAGTGGGGACAGCGGCGGCACCCTAGTGATTTGCAGATCGTCTCCCCTGCTTTCTCCCCACCCCTCTTTTAAAAGATTTATTTATTTTATGTGCCTGTATGTTTGTTTATGTGATGGCGGAGTTGGATCCCCTGGGACTTTGTGGTGCTGGGAATTGAACCTGGGTCCTCTGGAAGAGCAGCCAGTGCTCCCAACTGCTGACCCATCTCTCCAGCCCCACTTTTTGCTTTCTTTAAATACTCTTAGGATTTTTGTATTTGCATTTAATTTGGGTGAACTTAATTTTCATGCATGCTTACCAGCCTCCTGGCTTTGTCTTCAGCTGATGATACAGTGACCATAATGTCTCAGTTAACTAGGTTGTAAGCATTTCTCTCCTCAGTCTCTTCCATTTCCTCAAAAAAAAAAAAAAAAAAAAAAATTTTGCCTTAGAAAATGCTTTTTCTAAGCTGGAGACAGGATGGCTCAGTAGGCAAAGCACTTACCCCTCAAAACCTGGTGACCTGAGTTCAGTTCCCGAACTGCTGTGGAGGTGGGAAGAGGGGACAGACTCCACACCCTTTGTGGCATACATATGCCTGCATTCACATGCACATATTCACATAATAATGTTTAGAAAAAAAAGAAATTGACTTCTATTAGTTTGTTTTAGTGGTTGAGAGCGCTGTCCTATGCACTGCTGAAGTACCCCTATGCACATTATGTGATATGACCTGATTTGTGGTTAAGGACCAAACCAAGATTTTGCACTTGCGAGGCAAGCACTCTTCCACTGAACTCGTTCCCCATCTCCTGTGACCTATTGTTAACCACATGTCCTGCTATCAAGTACGTTTTGCTGTTGCTTCACTGTGTCAGCTGATAATTGCACCGAGATGAGCAACTCCAGCTTTCTTTGGCAATATAAAATGAGTGTAGCATTCTCCTTGCTGTTCGTGTAATCATAGTATGGATCCTTAAGCTTGTGGTATATTTATCTTTCACTGTTGTAGTCTCAGTTCTATAGTCTTTTTCTGATATGTGGATAATTTAAAGGTGATGATAGGATTTAATTTACTGGGTTTCGTTCTTTTTGGCCAGAACTGGGAGTTATTCTTATTGACAGCGTTGACTGAATTTTATAATTAGAGGAACAAACCCTAGTGTCTCATTACCTTAGAATATCAGCAAGGCTGCTTGGACCTAAGTCTTCTCAATGTTTTCTTTGCTTCTTTTGTAGAAAGGGAAATATGAGGTTCCTAAGTGGCTGTCTCCCAGTAGCATTCTGCTTCTCCAACAGATGCTTCAGGTAAAGTTTGTTATTTATTTTTAAGTATTAGAAGCCCATTGTAATCATTTAGTTAACTTAGTGTATCAGTGGGACTGCTGCATTTATTGTTATCTGTGAGCTTAAAAAGGATTCAATTCATCATGTGTCTTAGAAATATCCTATCTGAAGACCTCTTCTAATTATGTTGTAAACACAGTTGCTTTAAACCGTGCCTTGATGATGTGCCTTTGTCTGCTGTCTGTCTGTCTGTCTGTCTGTCTGTCTATCTATCTATCTATCTATCTATCTATCTATCTATCTATCTATCTATCTATCTCTGTTTTCTCCAGCTCTTGCTCTCCTGACCATTTTCTTGTCTCTGTGCTTGCACATTAGGCATATAAAAGCTACTGAACACATGCTTGGATGAACTGATGTGTAGTCTATGGGCCCCATGATTTAGTAGAGCACTTTTCAAATTTTGACATGGGTCAGAATTGCCAGGTGGGCTTGTTAAAAGCACAGCTTGCTGGGCCCCATCCCATCTCTGTGATCTAAATATCTGGGGCCGGGCTAAGCATTCACATTTCCAAAAGGCTCCTGAATGGTCCTGATGCTGATGGTTTTGGGGCCTCTTTGAGAATGACTCTTTGGGATGAAGGTGAAAAGCGGAGTGCTAAAGTCTAGGTGTTGTCCCTATCAATCGGTCAGTAGGCTTACCTCCTAAACTGTCTATGGTCTGTAAAATGAAAGGACCATGTCTGAGCCCACGTCACTGATCTGTGGTGTATTTTAGATACAATGAGTTGGAAATACTTGGAAAATGAGTATCTTATTAGTAATTACTTTATTTATTATGTTCCCTGAATATCTTCAGTTTTCCATCGATTAAGCCATCTTTACCTTTAAAATGTACCTCAGGCTCACCTACCTTGATTAAATAGAACCAGACCACCAAATCTCCATAGTGAGATTGAAAAATGCCTCAGCCTATCTTCTAGACCCCAAAACTTAATCTTTGTTGATTAATTTTTCTCTCCTCACATTTGAACATTACAAATGGAAACGAAAGGTGTGCTTTTCAGCTTGTTCTGTGTGATTGTTGAGTCAGTCGGAAGTAGAGATTGCATATTTAGTGTGAATGCCCTGCATTGCGCTTACTTGAATACTAAACTGGTGAATATTTCACATGAATAGGTTTTCCAGCAAAAAGACTATTACATCATACAATAGCTTGACTGAACTTCATGAATAATGTCCATACCAATGAAGTTCGTGTTTGTTAAACATTTATCTTGTAGGTCTGTGTTGGTTGCTATAGTTTTCTTGCCTCAATTGCCTTTTTAAAAGAACTCATTCCAAGGCCATTTTAAGGTCTTTGACAGCGTTGTTTGTGATGATAACATTTACATCTGCTCTCGTGCATTTTGAGTTCTCCGGAGGAAAGGTGTCGTAGTCTCTATTTGAAATGTACTTCAATGGCCACTAGGTGGACCCAAAGAAGCGGATTTCTATGAAAAATCTCTTGAACCATCCCTGGATCATGCAAGACTACAACTGTCCCGTTGAGTGGCAAAGCAAGACGCCTGTAAGTCCAGTGAAACCCAGCAGTTTTCGTAAGTTTGTATGACCTCAGGACCTGCATTGATGTGCTCTAACTGTAAAGGAAAATGTATCTTGCACACTTAGCCACATTGGTGGTGGGGGGAGACCTTCCCCTCAGCCCTGTGTGTATCAGTCTCTGGGCCAGTGAGTGGCTGCTCAGCCTTCACTGCCCGTAAGTCACCTGGAACCTTAAAAAGCAGAGCCTGTCTGGGGATAGTGACACATGTCTTTGACTCCAGTGTGTACCACCAGCAATTCCTTTTTTACATCCCAGAATACTTAATAAATACTTTTAAAAGCTCCCAAGTATTTTCCATGTGTAGTCAGGATTGTGAACAGTGCTCTGGAGTCTTTTTATTTCTCTGTGTAGCCCTGGCTGTCCTGCAACTCATTCTGTAGACCTGGCTGGCCTTGAAATCAGAGATCCACCTGCCTCTGCCCCCTGAGTTCTGGGATTAAAGGCTAAGGCCCAGCTACTCTAGAGTTTTGAAGGAGTTTTTTAACTCTGCTTAACCTATTTATTCATCTGTAGAAATAGGTTCAACCAGTTCTGCTTCCCAGAGTAGTAATGAGATGAGGGCTTTTTGTCCCCTTTGTATTTATTTATTAGTTCATTAAAAAGTAACAGGAAGAGTTGAGTGTAGTGACACATGCCTGGAATCCCAGCATTTGAGAAGTTGAGTCACGAGGATTGCAAGTTTGAGGACAGCCTGGCCTATATACTGAGACTGTCTCAAAAGAAAGAAAGAAACAAACAAACAAAAAAGCAATCAATAAATCTGTTACACATCATGAATAAATATTTTTGTGAAGAAAAAAAACATTTAAAAATAAAATTTGACAAAGGAGCGGCGTGTTGATGTCTTTACAAGCTTCTGTAAGGTCTGGCAGAGCAGTAGACACTTGTGTTGTCTCCTGCCCCTGCATTTAGAAAAGGCAACGTCACCCATCATAGGGAAGGCAAGGGCTATATTTTAATAGCCTTCTCGGATGGTTTCTGACAGTTCCTTAAAGCTTGGTTGTTTCTTTTTTAAGAAGTAGTTGTCTTAGTTTATGTGTATGGGTGTTTGCTTGAATGTCTATATATAGGTGAACCATGTGACCAAGGAGAACAGAACTCTTGGAATTGGAGTTGCGGGTGGTTGTGAGCCACCATGAGGGTAATGGGAACTGAACCGTGGTCCTGAGCAAGAGTACCAAGGACCGTCTGTCTAGACCCCAGTTTGGTAGGTTCTTAAAGTGAAGGTGGAATATAAAGTCACATCAATTAGCACTTTGGATTCTCCCATAACACCCATTAGTCTGTTCACGGGCTCTTTACTCCATGTACCGTTCTGTATTGGTCATTTGGAAAACACTTGTGCAGTTTTTCCAGTGCTGGCACATTTTCCGACGCAGCATTAAAGAGAACCACATTCCCTAAAGTCACTACTGATCTCATCAGAAAAGACTTTTTTCTTTCAAAGATTTATTTATTTGTTTGTTTTATGTGCAAGTACGCTATCTGCATGTGTACCTGCAGGCCAGAAGAGGACACCAGCTCACATTATAGATGGTTGTGAGCCACTTTGTGGTTGCCGGGAATTGAATTCAGGATCTCTGGAATTGCAGACAGTGCACTTAATCACTGAGCCATCTCTCCAGACTCCCAGAAAAGACTCATTTAATGTTGGAAAGCTCTCGAGCTTATGTGGCAGGTGCAAGTTTTCTAAAATTCTTAATTTTTGGTGGAAAGATAAAATTGCATCGTTGGCAACAAATACCGTAAGTTAATTTACTTTGTTCGGTTTTGACAAAGTACTTCTCAAATATCCAAATCTGAATAATCAGTAAAAAGTGGTATTCATGACTAAAATGGCTGTAGAGGCTGTTTCCCAGTCACATAGGGTCTTTGCTCTAGACAACAATGGCTCTGCACCTGACCCTTTCATCTTATACCAAAAACACACATGCTCAGTGTTGACATGTGATAAAATAATTCTTTGCTCCGACATAATTGAAACTGACTTATTTGGGGAATTATGAGTACATGACAAAACACATCGTCTCGGGACAGTTTGATCTCCACAGAAGCACCAGTTTCATTGTTTCTGTGCTATCAGCTCAAATGTCAGCACTGTGAAAATGCGAGAAATGGCATTATAAAAACAGATTTGACCTTGGAGACCCTCAGGAGACTGCAGATCACCTAAAAACTGGTCTGATGGACCTGACTCCTCCCCTGCCCTCTGCGTTCTCACAGGTACGGGTAATGCGCACATGCATGAGTATACCATACACGCACCATGTACATGCACACGTGTACTTGCGCGCATGCGGCCTCAGCACACGTGCAGTTAGAAAAGGTAGGAGTGTCTTTACAGCCTGTGCAGGTAATCCAGACTGTTCTCTTCTGCGGTGCTGTACGTCATGGCCAGGGGTTGGAATAGCTTGGAGGTGTGTCCCAGCCATGTCACATGGAGACAAATGGGCCATTTGCTTTCTGGAATAATCACATCGGTGAATATAATTACTCTTACCAGTAGCTAGCTAGTCTTCGAAAAGTGGACTTTTGCATCCAGCCTCTACTCTTGTCCCCACTGTTAGGGCCACACAGGCCGAACCCATCCCCCTCCCCTTCATTCTCCTTTGATGGTTAACTTGTACTGTATCTCTTGTCCGTATTCTCCTTGGCCCTCCATGATGTAGTAGATAGCTATTGAGTAAATCCAAGTTAATGTAGTGATTACCGATGCTGAGAGCCCAAGAACCATGTGAGTGTCTGAGCAGTTAGCAGAAGGAGAAGGGAGACTGACAAGCCCCTTGTGAGGGGGGAGATTGGGGTTGCAAATGCCTGTGTCCAACCATCGGGGGTCATCATTTCTCCATGTGTAGAAGGCTTTGCATGCATTTTGAGCCATGATTCTAATAGGATAGAAAACACTACTGTTCATGTTAGAATAGGCACCAAAATGAAGTATGTTTCTCATTATTTGTTTTTGAGACAGTCTCATGTAGCCCAGGCTGGCCTCAGACTTGCTATGTAGCCCAGGCTGGTATGGAACTTCCGATCATCCTAACCACTTTTTAAGGATAGTCCCTGATTCAAACAAACATCAGAAGTGTTAGTTTTCTGTTCTTTGTTTTTTAATTTGGGGCATATTATAAAGTAAAAGATACTTTTGAGTGTTCCCAGGGCATATAGTTTTACTTACATCTTAATATGATTGCTAGCCAGTTATGGTGGCACACATCTATAATCTGAGCTCTTTGGGAGGCTGAGCAGGAGAATGACAGATTTAGGCTGATATTCGAAACATGGTGAGACTGTGTCTTAGAAAAAAGAAAGGAAAACAAATAACTGCCAATCTGGATGTAGCGGTGCATACTTGTAATCCTATAGCTTGGAACACCAAAGCAGGAGGACCGCCATGAATTAAGGACAGCCTGGACTTCTAGTGAGTTATAGGCCAGCCATTGGCTACAGTGTGAAACACTGTCTTAAAAAACAAAACCAAATAACCGGGTATGGTAGCACTTACCTTTAAAATCCTAGCACTTTAACAATCCTAGGCAGAGGCAGGTGGATCTATTGAGTTCAAGGCCAGCCTGGTCTATAAAGTAAGTCCAGGGCAGCCAGGGCTGTGTTATACAGAGAAACCTTGTCTTGTAAAACAAAAGAACAAACAACAACAAAATGACCAGACAAATAAACTATTGCTCAGTGGTTAAGAGCATATATTTACTGTTCTTGCAGAGGACTCAAGCTTGCATCTCAACACCCATGGCAGGTGGTGGCTCACAATGTTCTGTAGCTACATCTGGGGGTGGGGGGAAATCTGACACCTCGGGCCTCCTTAGGCATCTAAGCACACATACACACACACACACACACACACACACACATCTTAAAATTTTTTAGTATTTGTTGAATACTACATAAGCATGCTATTATAAAGTTTAGGTTCTGTATTTCACTATGGAATGATATGGATAGAACTTTTTGGATATCAAGCATTGTTCCATATCCTTTGTTAACTCATCTAGTCTTTGTACTAGCTAGCCTTCTGAAGTAGGGGCTATTATTGCCCAATTTTGTAGATGGAGCAAAATGATGTACATTATCATCTAGTAATACAGTTGAGTGGCTAATATGCATAGAGAACCAGAAGTTGAGTCAAGACAGGGGCTGCAGCATGGAAGGGACCTGGGAGGTCATTTGGTTTAAGCTCGGGGCCTCTATCCTGGCCATCTGCCACATTCCTTGTCTGTGTCTTCTGGAACAGAATTCAAGATGGGTAGCATCATGGTGTAGTATAATAGTCTGGGCCAGGAATAAAAAATGCCAGTCTTGGGGGCAAATAACAGACTCTTCTTAATCTTCATCGCATCATCCCTAGTCTGGGCCTCTTAGTGTCCTGTCTGCCTAGAGTACCTGACCTTTACCCAGCAGCTTACTCATTTCTTCCCCCTGCGCACAGAGCTGTGGTAAAATGAGCTGGAAACAGAGAGGTTAAGGATTGCTGTCACTGTTTGAAGTATTTGCTTTTTTTCTTTCAGTACTGTGTGTTATCAGGAATGAACTATAAAAATTATTCTGATTTACTTGGATATTTAAGGCATAGATGCTGTAATAATTCTACGCATGATCTCCTCATGCCATTTTCATGCACAGGTCTAGTATCCAAGTATTGTATCAAATAGAAGTTATATTCAGTTCCATTTTCTGCCCTAGTGAACAGGAAATGTAGCAGGCACGGATAATCCAAAATAATTGGCTACTTTTGGACATGCATTTTTGTACTTAACCTAACCTTAGTATGCATAGCTGAGAATTCAGAGTATCATCAAACTATCAATCCCTTTTGAAGACTCAGTTTGAAATGAAAGGCTTTCTCAGAACTTTGTCATCTCATTCTTTTTATTCTAGTTTAGGAATCCAATAGAAAGCACAGTACCTCCTTCATTCCTGTCCTGCTTTTCCTGTGCACAACTTATGGCTGATGCACAGGACAGGGTGGTATAGAAAACAGGCTGCTTACCTTTTTCCTTAAATTTTTTTTCTTGCATTAATTTATATGTGTGTGAGAGAGAGAACAAGACAGACAGACACAGAGGAGAGAGGTAGAGGGTGTAAGGGCAGAGGAGTCGGATCTTTCCTTCTACCATGTTGGGCCCATGATCAGTCCTAGTCCACTGAGCTTGGTAACAGGAGTCTTTACTATGCCATCATGCCAGACCTGGCTATTTTTTTCTTTTCTTCTTTTTTTTCTTTCTTTTTTGTTTTAAAAATAGGGTCTCCCAAGGCTGGAGAAATGACTCAGTGGTTAGGAGCACGTACAGCCATTGCAGAAGTCTGGGTTCAGTTCCCAGCACACAGATAGTGACTCACAGCCATCCATCGTAACTCCAGGTCCAAAGGATCTGACCTCCTGGGGCTCCAGGATGCAGGTGGTGCACATGCTCAGGCACACACATTCATAGAGTTAAATAAATAAATATTTTAAAATTAAAATAAAAATAGAGCCTTCCTGTGTAGCTTTTGTTGACTGAATTTGCTGCACAGCTCTGTCTAGCCTTGAACTCTAGATCTTCCTGTCTTAACCCCTAGAGTGTTAGAATTACAGATGGCACCATACCTGTCCGAGAAGTGTTCCCTGTTTAGGGGATAGCTTGGGCCTGGAAGGAACTCAATATTTCTCTTCTTCCTTGAGCAGTGATGCCCAGCTGGGTGTTGAAGTGTTTGGGGTTTTGAGGTTGAGATCATCCTAAACGAGGAGTTTGTACTCTGAGAGATATAAATGTTAAAGCAACACAATGAGCATATATCTTAGAACTTTGGAATTTTCCAGTGCCACTAGTATAAGCCTGTATGGTTTATACTTTTTTTTTTTTTTTTTTTTTAATTGATGACCTTTGAGTTTGTGCTTGTCCCAGCCAATAGTGCAAGTTTGTCTTGGTCTGTTCAGTCTGTTCTGGAATGGAACGCCATAAGTTGGGTAGCTGGGAAGTTCAAGTCCAAGGCCTGTGTGGTGTCTGGTGATGACTTGCTCTTCTGTTTGTAGTTGGTCCCCTTCCATTGTGTCACCTTCCCATAGTGGAAGGACTGAGGCGCCTTTGGCTTCTTCCTGTTCTTGAGGAGAGAGACCACTCACCTCACTCTCCAAAACCTCACCTCCTAACACTCAGGCTGGTCATTAGGGTCAGAATCCAGTCTAAGGAACACAAACACGTTGGCCCGTAGAAAGGTGGTTGTGTTTTCTGTTTCTCTCCTTTCATGAAGGTGGGATAAGTTTCTCTTGAGCTCACTGTTGCTTGTGTGTAGTACATGAGGGGAGGTCCTGATACTGCTCTGCCTTGTGCTAAGCAAACTTCTCCCTCATTCTGTCTGATTCCAAGTAGCTTATTTAGAGGGGAAAGTGGCCTGTAACAAGAATCTTTAAATTCCTGAAAGGTTATCCAGTTAATGAGGAAATAGAATTGTGTATGTTAGTAAAAACACTTAACTGTTTTTTTGAGGGCCTTGTCTGTTTAGTTGCCATACTTGTGTATTCCCTTGTGTTACATATATGGCAAGGCATGTGCCATGTCTCTTTTACAGATGATAAAACAGGCTCAGAGAGGTGTAGAGGTACACTCAAGGTCACACAGTTATAAAGTGATGTCACAATTAAAACCAAAGTCTGTCCAATCTCAAAGCCTATTAGCTGTCTGGCTGCACTGACTCAGGAGCTAGCTATCCCATGGAGACAAGCTTAGGTGACAGCAGAGGCTGAACACCCCAGCCGTTCTGCTGAGGAGGATTTGAAGCAAAAGTTGAACATCACTTCCTGGAGCTTTTGTGAACAGAATGTTTTACTTTGGAAATCATGTTCCTTATGATTCTCTTCACATTCCATCATCTGAGTGTTTCCAGCTCAGGCAAGAGTTCTTGTCATTCTCCTCTGAGTGAGAGGTCTCCCCATGCAGGCATCTGAGGACATGGTGATTGCTCTCTTAAGCAGATTGAATTTCTGTAGAGTTTTACTGTGTTTACGTTATGGTGTGCTGTACCTTCAGTGTGATGGTGACTGCTGCATTTGTCACACACTATTACATGGCCTCCTGAGATCGTGCAGACCTAAACCTGACTCAGAGTGCAGCATACTACAAGTCAGAGCCACCCTTTGATCACTGGTGTCAGCACTGATTTCTCACAGGGCTGCTCTTTGATGAACGTGCTGGGCAGGTCTTGCAGTAGACATGGGGGATATGATTCCTTAGCTGCACAGAAGCACGGTGACAGTCAAGTGACGGCATAGGGAGGCCAGGAAGACTCATCTTGTTGAAATGGTTGTCGGCCTGATTGTGTGTGAGCAAATGAGGACGACTGCTGGGTGAGAGTGTAGCTCAGCAGCAGAGCAGAAAGATCCTAGGAGTGTGGATGTGTCCAAAAGTTGGACAGGCTCATGTGCCACCACATTGCTGTGGGGCTTTTTGGAAATGATAATGCTGGTGTTAAGTTTCAAAAGAACATACTTGTAAACGTAACAGTTTATGCAATTGTTTTGTAGCTGACTCACCTTGACGATGATTGCATAACAGAGCTCTCTGTACATCACCGCAACAGCAGGCAAACAATGGAGGATTTAATTTCATTGGTAAGAAATTCGGCATGAACTTAAAGTGATAGCTTCTGTTTCATTGTCCTTCTATTTTGTTAGTACATTGATGGTGATAAAGCACTTTTAAGACCCAAGGTGCCATCATGAGTAAGTGTGGCACTAACTTTATATTCATGTTTGGTACTGTAGTGAGAATTGAGGAATTTGGTTTCTTTAAAAATTAAAGAAATACTGTAAGAATGTATTTTCATTTTAATACCAGATGTGGGATATGGGGCTGCTGACTATGATTTGCCTCATGCTCTAGTGGAGGCATGGTTTTGACAGCTGCAGTTAGTTTCAGTGATTGCGTAACATTTGGAATTCTGGAAACTTTTCACAGGGTATATAAATGCTAGCGCTCTGATAGGTGGGGATTTTTGTTCATTTAGGGAGGATGGTTGCTGTTGGCTAGTAACCGTGGTCACAGAAGAAGCAAAGGAAAAGACATTAGATTCAGGGATTTTCCTAATTCCTCTTTCCCCTCTATCTGTTTCTCTCCTATCGAGTGTTAGGGGATGAAACAGGGTGGATAAAGGGTGGGAAAAAGAAGAACCCACAAAGTAGCAAAGGCCAGCTACATGATGCAGTTCTTCGCTGTGTCTTCTGGGTGTTTTCTACATTTACTTACTTGCTTATTCTGTATCTACATCCGTTGGTGAGCACATGTTACAGTAAGTGTGTAGAGCTCAGAGGACAGCTTTGTGGAGTTCATTCTCAGACATAGAGATCTGGTTCAGTTTAAACACGAAGAGGACAACATTCTTAACACATGCTTTCAAGGGCTGAGCATATAGCCCTTGAGTACTGTCTAGTGTGTTTGAAGCTCCAGTTTCCATCTCTACCACTGGAACAAAAGAACAAAAAGTTTTGTTTTTAAGCAGGGGCTTGCATGTAGCTCAAGTAGTAGGCCTCAAATAACATGTCCCACACTGTCTCTGTTTCTGTTTTCCCTGTCTGACTATCCATCTGTTCTCCGTCCGTCCGTCTGTCTCTTTCTTTCTCTCTCTCTCACACACATGGACATATATACACATAGTTTTACTGTATGCCTCACGCTGGCCTTAGCCTGGAGCTTACTGTGTAACCAATTAACCAACCTTCCTTCCTTCCTTCCTTCCTTCCTTCCTTCCTTCCTTCCTTCCTTCCTTCCTTCCTTCCCTCCTTCCTAGCTTTTTGAGCTAAGGTCTCTCTGTGTAGCCCTGGCTGTCCTGGAACACTCACTTGGTGGAGCGGGTTGGCCTTGAACTCAGAAACCTGCCTGCCTTTGCCTCTCGAGTGCTGGGACTACAGGCATGCAAGGCTTTTACTTTTTAATTAAAATTAAAAAAAAATTTTTTTTTTTAAATACAGTGTTCAGGACACCAGATCTCATTATAGATGGTTATGAGCCACCATGTAGTTGCTAGGCATTGAACTCAGGACCTTTGGAAGAGCAGACAAAAACTCTGGGCCGTCTTTTCAGCTCCCTAACTTTTTTTTAAATAAATTTTTATGTGAAATAGTCAGATTCTCCTAAGGCTTACAATTTGGGCATTGTTATCATATCCCTCCTAAGATTCCTGGTAGTGGTGCTCAAGCCCCTAGCTTATTCTTCTTATTCTCCCTGTTAGAGGCTCTGCGTTGTGGGAGCGCTCACACAAATGGGATTCCACTTAGCGTTGCAGGTGCTGTCTCTCTTTAGCCCGGGTGCCTGGGGACTCAGCACTTACCGAGCACTCAAAAAGGATTGCAGAGCCTGTGTGGTAGTGCAGTGCTTAACCCCTGGCACTAAGGAGGCAGGCGGGCAGACTGGGCGAGTTCACAGCCAGCCTGGTCTGCATAGCAAGTTCCAGGACAGCCAGGGCTGTCCAGAGACCCGCTCTTGGTGGCACAGTTGTTAGGATAGCTCAGTGCTGCCAAGCCTGAAAACCTGAGCTAAGTCTAGAACCTATAGTAGAAAGAGATTGGACTTCAGACAAACTCTAAGAAAATTAAGTGTTTATAGTTTTTTAGAGACAGAGCCTCTTTCTAATAGGCAGACCTATCAGCATCAGACATTCGCTCTCAGAAGAGGGAATGACATAAAAGGTAGCTGGGTTGGCCTTGCAGAAAGGAAAACAACTGTATTGCCTTATCTCTTACTCAGCTGTCCTGTGCATCGTATCAAGAGGTGTACGAAGTGACTATGGCCCCAAAAGTTATAAAAGTGTTGTTTGCCAAGGAAAAAGGGAGGCATTGGCATATTTAGAAAAGATTCATAAACTCTTATGAGATAATTTCCACCAGAGAACACAGGGACACTCTTAAAGTTGATTAAAAAGTTTTCCAAAACACCTAAAACTTAGCACTATCCAGTCACAGTACTTAGACTAGGTTAGTAGAGTAACAGCGCCCTTTCCCCCCCTCCCCCTTATTTGGGTGGTACTGGGGGTAAAACCCAGGGCCTTAGATGTGCTGGATGAGTGTTCTACCACCTAAGTTTATCTTCAGCCCACCAACTTGTTTCTTAACCTTCTCTTGTGTCTCTCAAACAGTTTTTTATGTTTTTAAAAAGTGCCTAGCACATACGACACAGTAGATGTGGGGAATCTTTGGTATAACTTGGGGAAAGGGACAGATGCTTATAAATATATTGTTTTTATTTGGTTATGCAGTTCTTTCTCTCTAAAGTCTTTTCTGTTGTGCTCTGATGTGCGCAATAAAGGCAGAATTCCACTGGAATTATCATAACATCAGTATTTTATGCCTTTCTAGATCAATAGGGCCAACATGAAAATTTCAAGTCACCTATTACATGTGAGCCTATGTAAAATATGAATGGACAAAATTAACAGTGTTGATGGTGGCCCTTTTTGTGTTGTGCCCTTCTTGAGAGTACTCTATAACATTAATACCGCTCCATTATTAAGATTTAGCATATTTTTAAAAATTATTTTGCAGGGACAGAGGCTCATAGTCTGAGTTTATTATTTTGAGCCGGTGAATATTTTCTTAAATTTCATTAAAACAATAGAAAGGGATTTAAAAATCAAAAGCTTTCCAGGTTATATATAGGTAAAGAGACAAAGGGATGTCAAAATTTTTTTGAAATTTATAAAATAGAAAGGTTGTAGCTGACAAAAGAAGTTGGGAGGAAACTGACCGTTAAGGGTTGTGGTGGGAAGAGGTAACAGAGGGAGCTGGTTCGCTCTTGAGAATTCTGGTATAAGGTCAGAAACCAGTGGGACCCAGAACGCCAGTATTAGTGAGGCTGTTGGAAACCTGCAGTGAGAACCCCGGGTTGCTCTTTCTACTTCATGCTTTCTGCAGCTGATTCCTTATCCCAGCAGAAAACTGGAGACATTCAACAAGGAAGAAGGCAGGAAACGGGGAGATACTCTAGTAAAGTAGACTTAGAGGGAATGGGGAGATGGTAAAAGAATAATCTAAGAAATAAGGGAAGCTAGTTAGTTCTTGAAGAGGATTGAGGTGCATCCATAAAGAACCTTCTAAGTGCTAACCCTCAAAACTCTAAACTGTCCATAGAAATAAGCTTGGTAGAAATGTTTGAAAATGAACTTAAGGTAAAATTTCAAAAGTAGAACTGAGAGACAAAAAAATCCAAAACGAGAGAAGGGGTAAAAAGAGGTACCATGTATATCAGAGATGTACCAATCAGTACTTCTTCTAGTGGAATTTCAGAAAGCTGGGGAAGACCACAAAAGTTTTCAGAGACAAAAATCTAAGGCCATAAAATGCACGGGAGTTAGACAATTAATTAATTAATTAATTTACATTTATTTGTTTGTTTGTTTGTTTGTTTGTTTGAGACAGGGTTTCTCTGCGTAGCTTTGGCTGTCCTGGAACTCACTCTATAGACGAGGCTGGACTCGTCTCACAGAGAGCTGCCTGCCTCTGTCTCCTGAATGCTGGGATTACAGGCATGTGTTACCAGCGCCTGGCCTGATTTGGACTTTTTAATAATAGCTATGCTAAAATCAACAGGAATAATATCTTCCAAACTATGAAAATTATTGTTTGTCTGTAATTCTTTACTTCACCAAACCAGAATCAAGTGTAAGGGCAGAATGCTGTCATATATCAGACATGCATAATTTCAGAACATTTACTTCCTGTCAACCCTCAGAAAGTTACTGGAGGATGATTTCCAACACAAGAGTGTCAATCAAGAAAGAAGAATGCTTGGATCTAGAAAAGTGGGGGTATATTATAGCACAGAGGAGGAAAGAGTTACTAGACCGGCAGGTGGCACATGGACTGTCGGTATTGGGGGATGTCTCTAGGAGAAGGGAGGAGGTCGGTTAGCTGATGTACCATGAATGCTGAGAGGTAAGACTATTAGAATTTATGATAGAATTAGAAGAACGAGGAAATTAAAAGTTAATTTCAGGAATGACACAGTAGTAAAACATCAAACAGGAGATGCAAGAATGTTGACTTTATTTTACTCCTCTTCTGTTTCTGCATCTTTTTGTCTTAAGCTCTATATGGTTTGGCTGCAGTGCTTATAGTCAACCAGTATGTCTGTTACTAAGATGTTAGGCCGGGTGGTGGTGCCACATTGTTTTGAATGGTTCCTTCTTACTTGTCTTAGATACCCCGGGTACCACTTCTCCTCCATCTTAAACATCTTATTTTTCTTTTATGGTGCTGGGGATGGAACCCAGGGTCTTGTGCATGTGTTGGTGTAATATTCTTGTGAAATGTACCTTTGTTCATTCAAATGCTGATTTCTTTACCCCACTATCTGGTTTCAATCTGGACATTGCATTGTGATGTTTATTCTAAGCATCACCTGTCTCAAGTATGTGTAAACATGCCACCATTTGTTCTCTATATTGTCAATTAAACAACCAGCCAATGCTGAGCAATGGAGAGGTGAGGGTGGGACCTCCTGGTCCAGAGGGGAGGAGAAGGAAGCAAGTGAGAGGGAAGAGTAGGCAGAGGTCAGCAGGACAGGACTTTGAACCATGAGGGAGATGAACTGTACTAAAAGCAAGTATAATGGGTGAAATCTGAATGGTAGGAAACTATGCGGGTTTGGAGGTGTAGGATGGAGTAATCATTGCCCAGCATTGTGCTCTAGGTTAACTAAACACATCCTAGTCTCTGTGTGGTGATTTGGTTATGCAGCTGGTTTAGAAATAACTACTGATTTAAAAAAGATAAATTAATAATAAATTAATCATCCATAATACACATGCTAGGCAAGCACTCTGTCATTGAGCTACTTCCTCAGCCCTACATCTCACAATTAAACAATTGACGTGGCAGGGTCCCTAATACCTTCCTGGCCACTTCTTGGTCTCTGTTCTGACTGATTGTATCAGGATAATAATACAATATTTATACCCTTACTTCTATTTAGTTGTGAATAATACTTACAGACTCATAATTTTGTAAATTTGATTTAATTTAAAATGATAACATTACTAGAGGAGATGGGAAGATGTATGTAGGGAAGATGTTATAATAGAGTAAAATTCTTATTTTCCACACTAAGAATTAGAATACCTGAAAATAAAACAATTAGAACTACCAAGGAAATTAGCTTTGAAATATGCAGTTGATAACAACATGGTGTTCAAGGTGTTCAGAAGTTCTTTCTGTGCGGGGCAGTGTTAGGTATGGAGTCATGATGTGGAGGGATGGTAAATAAGTCTCTGCAAAGTTATTGACTTAAAATTCTGAATGCCTATTGCATTGAAAAGAAGAACAGTTTTAAATAGAATAGTATTTCCTCACATTCGTGAGTATCTTGACTGCTTGATTTTTTTTTTCCTTCAGTGGCAGTATGATCACCTCACAGCCACCTACCTTCTGCTTCTAGCCAAGAAGGCTCGAGGGAAGCCAGCTCGTCTACAGCTTTCTTCCTTCTCCTGTGGAACCCCCAGCACCACTCCAAAGGCAAGTTCTAGAAGCCCTTATGTGGACACCTGCTCATCTTGCAAACTTGTTCACAAGCAGACTTCCCCCACCACCACCACACCAGCCTTAAAACAGCCAGATGGATTGAACCCCAGGCCTTGTACATGTGAGGCAAGCATTCTCTCACTTGAGCTCTGTCCAACTGTTTTAAACATTCTTGATGAGAAAAATGAGAGTTCTGAACTTGAACTCTGAAAGTTTGAAGTTAAAATGGCATTTTAAAAACATTTCCTTCCCTGGCACGGTAGCATACGCTTGTAATCCCAGCACTCAGGGAGGCAGAGGCAGGTGGATCTCTGAGTTCGAGGCCAGCCTGGACTACAAAGTGAGGACAGGACAGTCAAGTCTACACAGAGAAACCCTGCCTCAACAATAACAAAAACAACATAAAAACACTTTGTCTTCCCTTCTCTTTTCTTCTTAAAAACACATCCTGATTATTGAGAAATAGATAAAATAAAAGAAAACATAGGATTTACTTATAAACCTGCTAGCTACAGATGATATAGTTTTGTTGTTGTTGTTGTTTGTCTGTTTGGTTTTTGTTTTTTTGAGACAGGATTTTTCTGGGTAGTCCTGGCTGTCCTGTAACTCTCTGTAGACCAGGCTGGCCTCGAACTCACATAGTTGGACCTGCCTTTGCCTCCTGAGTGCTGGGATTAAAGTGTGCACCACCACGTCTGTTGTTAATCTTTTTTTTTTTTAAGATTTATTTTTTTATGTGTATGAGTGTTTTGTCTGCATGTATGTGTGCATTCCGTTGTGTGTGTCTGGTGCTGGAAGAAGCCAGAAGAGGGTGTCAAATCCATTGAAACTGGAGTTGCAGACAGTTAGCTACTTTGTGGATGCTGGGACTTGAACCCACGTCCTCTTCAAGAGCGGCCAGTGTTTTTATCCACTGAGCTATCTCTTTTGCTCTGTATTTGGTTAATTCTTTAATGTGTCTTTCCTGTCTCTGCTTTTTAATGTACTTGATAGGACTTTTAAAGGGAGTCAGGCCTATGAATACATGATACATTGCATTTCATATGACATGAAGTAATTCAGTATAAACGTTTTCGTGGTTAGGTTATGACTGGGATTTAGGTTTCTGCAGTTGGTATAGCTTGTGCAATGTAAATTCTTTCCATGAGACTGTTGTGATTCTTCTTATGTGTTTCCTGTTGTGAATGTTGATAGTGATGGAGTGTATATATTACAAGCAACATGGTATTCCTCCTAGATGCTCACATTTTTTCGTTTGATTCTATCTTTTATGGTTGAAATTTATTTTATATTATTTATTTGTGTGTGGTGTGTGTGCGCGCGCATGTGCACACAGGCGTGTATAGGTGTTTGCGCCACATGATGCAGGTGGTCAGAGAATAGCTTTTGACAATTGATTGTCTCTGGGGATTGAATTCAGGTCCTTAGGCAAGCACCTTTACCCACTAAGCTATTTTTCTGGAGCCTCCATCCTTACATTGCTTAAAATGTAACTGTTCATTCTTGCGAGGCTGAAGTAGAAGAATTCCTGTGAGTTTCAAAGCTAGAATAGGCCACATATATGAAGTCAGGCTGCCTGTGTCTGCAGAGTGAGACCCTATGTATAAAACAAGCTCTGAATACTTTGTTAGGTGGGTGTGGGGTTTTGTAATATAATCTTCTCTCAGCCCATTCCAGAGTGCAGTTTAATGATTCCAGTATTAGAAAAACACAGCTTAGGGCTGCCTCTGTTGGTCAGTGGTAGTGTTCATTTAGCATGCATGCCTGAGGCCCTAGGCTTGATCCCTAGTATCACAGAGAACAGAAGGGAAAAAAAATCAGAAAGGAAATGTATCTTTGATATCCTTAGCTACAGTTGGCCTTCTTTATAGATTAAAGATAACCCAAATAGCCATGTATTAGGCCTTTTTTTTTAAGATCCCAAAACTGTTTTTAAGTAAGTTACAGTCACTGCTTTCATTTCTCTAGTTGAATCATCCAACTCCAGCTTTGCTTAACTCCTCCTTTAGAGCTCACTTTTTATTGAGTGTCATTCATGAGCTATAGGTCTAAGTGGCTGGGAGGGTCCTGACAGACCTTATTTATCTTCCATCTTTCCTCCCTTGGTGAGTTTTGACCAAACTCAGGACTAAGAGTATCAGTGCACTTGACCAGTGTGTGAAGTCTGTGAAGTGAGGAATTCTCACTCCCAGGCCGGTATTCTATCCAGGTTTGGAGAGTTTTGTTAGGCTGGTAAATGCCCTATGTTCTTATGCCTGCATGCTTAGTGAATCCACCGATCATCTTTCTTGCTGTTTTGGTGAAATCCTTTAACTTTCAGGTTCATTTGGGTCTAAGAGGACATGAAAATATGAAATTTGTTTTCGAACAGGGTAATTGCAGAAAGGTATTATTTACCTCTACATTTAGAATAATTACTTAGGCAAACAATTAATTTACTCACCTCAGTTAAGATGACTGGCGCATTCTCCTCGGCCAGTGGATTTTCTTGTATCTGGGCTGTTGAGGTCTCAGTGGCTGTCTTATTTGATTTGTGAAGTATCCAAGTAGGAAGCTCTGAGAAGATATTTACCCTTGTTAAGTTTGTTTATTTGGTGTTTTTGTTTTCGAGACAGGGTTTCTCTGTGTAGCCCTGGCTGTCCTGGGCTTGCTCTGTAGATCAGGCTGGCCTTGAACTCAGAGATCCACCTGCTGGGATCAAAGGCATGCATGGTGAGATTTACAGATGATGAGCCCAGTGATATTTAGTGTTATTTTCTACTACATAGTGAATATTTACCTAATAATTTCATTATTTGGGCAGTCATACTAGTGAACCAATTTTTATAGCGGGCAGACATTTTAATGGCCAGAAAATAAGTAGAAATCAAATTTTGAGTTCTTTTCTGGCTTATATGCTAATTAGTGGACCTTGAACAGGCCATATAGTTTCTTTGTATCCTTTTCCCTCTGTTGAAATGACCTGTATTTCTGGGGGTTTGTTTTTAAGAGAATAGTTAATTCTGACTTACCAGTCAGTCGATGTTGCTCTCAGTTGGTAATAGTAAAGTCTGAATTAGGAATCACTAAAGACCACACAATCTTCAATGGTAATGTGTTCAGGCACCATAGATTTGGGGAACAGATCTAGTTGAGTATGGTACTTGCTCCTGCAATGGTCATGCTGAGGCAAAGCACACATGCACAGAAACGCACACACGGGCTTGATACCTCAGCATATGAGTTCCAGATCTACTGTGGTATGATGTGGGGACTTTGGGAAATAGGAATGACCTCCATTGGGAGATCCAAACTGGATCAGCGGTTAAGTTTGAGTTTAGAAAAATGGAAAAGAGGGAGTACAGTTGTTAGGGCAAGATAAAGGTAATAGCAGAGCTCAGGCACCACACTGTGCTTGATGACAGTGGCTAGACTCTGGAGAACTCTGAAATGCTGTGCCACGGGGTTAGACTTTGTATAGTAGGTCATGGGGAAACACTGACTTTGAGCAACAGAGAGGCAAAGTGATTTTGAAAATCAGTGGTCAAAGGCACTTGTCAGACTCCACAATCTGAGTTTGATGGCCAGGTCCCACATGATAAGAGAGAACCCGAGAGAACCTGTTCCTCTAAGCTGTCCTTCTACCTCCACATTTGAGCACACACACAGACACTCAAATAACTAAAGGTAAAATTTGAAAGAAAAAATTGTGTATAGAATTCTTCAGTCAGGCTGGCTGTGGCATCACACACCTTTAATCCCAGCACTTGGGAGGCAGAGGCAGGTGGATGTCTGTGAGTTCGAGGCCAGCCTTGTCAAAGAGTGAGTTCTAGGACAGCTAGGACTACACAGAGAAACCCTGTTTTGAAAAACAAAAACAAACAAACAAATAACAAAAAGAATTCAGAGATGCTTTGTATGTGGTTAATGCCTACTGTAGTATCATCACAGCCATCATTTATACAACAGTAAACTTTTCCCAACTTGGCCTAGACCTCAATATTTTTCACAGCTTAGCGTTCTATCTGTGCAGTGAGTTCTCACTGATAGTAACTGGCAACCCTGGAAAACTCTTGTGGTAGATAGGGAGGGTAAGAAGATTGCCTGTTTGAGTCATGTAAAAATGAGAAGATTTGGCCTTGAACTGCATTAGCTATTAGTCTGGGTAAAGGGTTATAGGTATTAAAAATTTAATAGTAGTACCTACCGCCTCACCCTTTAGGCTATATCAAGTATACTCTTAGTTTGTACAGGGAATGGATGAAGGAAAGTAAAGCATTCTGGTGGCATAGGCTGTTAGCATAGGCCGCAGATGTTCTGTTTGTGGGTGATCTTTCAGGTAACTAATTTACTTCTGGCAGAAATTAGGAGTTATGCTGTTTGTTTTAAAATTTTACTTATTTATGGGACTGGAGAGATGACTCAGTGGTTAAAAACACTGGCTGCTCTTCCAGAGAACCCAGATTTGATTTCTAGAACCTCATGGTGCCTCACAACCATCTGTAACTTGTTCCAGGGGACATGATACCCTCTAGGCCTCTACAGGCACCATGCTTGCGTGTGGTACACAGACATAATACTCTTATACATACACTCTCAATCAAACTTTAAACATTTTTATTATATGTCTGATGTATGTGTGGGGTTAGGTATACATGCTGTGGCAGGAGTTTTGGGGTCAGAGGACAAGTTTGTAGACTCAGTTCTTTCCTTTCTCTATGAGTTCTAGGGATCAAACTCAGATCACCAGAACTGTGGGGCAAGTGCTTTTCCCCACTGAGCCATTGTGCTGGCTCCTGTTAAATGCTTCTCAGTGTCAAAAGTTATGTCCTTTCCAGCTTTTGCTTTTTGGGGACTTTATTTGTAAATTTGCAGATGAGTTTAGTACTGCTATGGAGTGGCGATAAGCTAATTAAACTGTATTCCGAATAACATCTAGCTTGTCTTTTTGCTTCTGCTTCCATGTTGCTCCCTGTGCCTGGCTTATGCTGTTGTAAAATTTGAATCCTGGTGTTATTATTGCTAACTTCTTTTGCCTTTCAAATTAATAGTCAAAGAATCTAAGCCTGGACGATATAACCACTAATGATGATAACTGTGCGGCTGGATTAATAGACTATGACTTCTGTGAAGATAATTTATTAGCTCACCAGACACTACAGGTGGGTACTTTTATGACTACTTAAAGTAGAATGTGTGTCTTAATTATAAACACACCTAGTCTAACAGGAGATCAAGTCTGCTTGTAAATTTATTTAATCTCTAAGGCACTGAAGACATCAATGAGAGATTGTTGGAATATAAATGAAAGAGAAGTCAATGATTTCAAAGTCAAGAAAAGCAGGATTCCATTTTGGAGCACCTCACTGCCCCTCCCCTCTTTAAATGAAATATTATTTTCATGTAGTGAAGTAGTTGAAATTCACTTTTTTTAGGGTTTAGCCCTGTGTTTGACAACATAGAGCCACCAGAAATTGTGACACAGTAGTTCCATTACCCTCTCCCAGTGCCTTCATGTTCCTTTCTGTGAACTCTTTTTTTTCCTCTTAACTCAGGGCAGCAACAGATATGTTTTTCTCTTCGCTTGATAATTTTGTTTTAATCCTACCCTAAGATCGTTGCACTTCTTAGGTGTATGGTTCAAAGTTTTCCACCAAATATGGGATATTTTTAATATATAGTATATATATACAATATGTATAAATATATGTACTATATATAAATATATACTATTATAAACACACACACACACACACACACACACATATGGTATTTTTTGACTTTTAAGGCAGGCTTTCTCTGTGTAGCCCCGGTTGCTCTGGAACTCACTCTGTAGAATGAGGCTGGCCTCAAACTCACAGAGATTCGCTTGACTCTGACTTTAAGGGTATTTTTTTCAAATATTATTTTTGCCTCATCAGTTCTGTTTCTATTCTTTTTTTCTTTCTATTCGTCACAGTAATTTGATCCACCTCTTTCCAGTTGGCTGATTCAATTTCTAGTGCTGTGAAGTATGGTAATGAGTCTGCTATCCTCATCCTCCCTCTCTGTCTCTACCCTCTCTCTTCTCTCTCTCTCCTTTCTCTCTCTCTCTGTGTCTGTCTGTCTTGGCAGGGCCTCACCTTACTAATTTGTGCTGGCTCCCCTAGAACATACAGTGCAGCTCCCAGTAGCTGTGACCCTTCATGCCTCTGCCTCCAGAGTTTTGAACTTAAGACTACACTACTGTGCACAGCTAAGTTTTTAAAAATTACTGTACTTAAGCTGGGCACGGTGGCTCATGCCTTTAACCCCAGCGCTTATAGAGGCAGAGGCAGGCGGATCTCTGAATTCGAGGCCAGCCTGGTCTACAAAGTTCAGGACAGCCAAGGCTACAACAGAGAAACTTTATCTCAGGGAGAAAGATGACTGTCCTTTTTTAAGTCTAGGATTTTCTAGGTAGATCTTGTAAATGGTTGTCTGTGCTGATTCTGTGGTGTTGCCTTATGCTTCAGTTCTGTAGAACTTAGCTGCTTAACTGTGAGTCCTAACCTCATGACCTTGTGTAAGGGAGTAGAGAAGCTGAACAATTTGGCAAAAGCAGAAGGTTCATGAATGTACAAGGATCAAAGGTCACTATTAGTGTGTGATGAGCCTGAGGTGTTCCTGGTTGTGCTTGTCTCTGTTGCATCATGTGACTTCACCGTGGCCACTGTCCTGAGCACCCAGCATGTGCTCATGCACTGTGAATGCTGTAGCTGCCACACAGGGCCCATGACTGCTGCCTGAAGTGCCTTTGCTCAGATTTGAGATGGTTGTTCTATTTTCATTTGTATTTAATCTGCGATTAGATATATACCCTGAGTTTATTTTTATCCTTTTTTCAATTTCTGGAGGTTCTAATTCTCTTTATAATCTACCTGAATATTTTGTTGTCTTGTTCTTCTGGTGTAATATTATATTAGTGTATGTATATTATATAATATTATATTATAGTGTATATATATTATTATATATAATAAATAGTGTTTAAAGAACACTAATATATTTATAGTCTTCATTTGATCATTTTGATATCTAACTTTTTTCTGGCCTGATTCTGAGTCTTTATTTTTATTTACTAGGTTCATGTTGAGGGGGTCTGGAGGGCTAGGGGAGGAAAATTAGATGTACACTATAGTGTGCTTATGGAGGTCAGAGGACAACTTTTGGGAGTTGGTTATCTCTTGGGGCTTCTGGGCATCAAACTCAGGCCATCAGGCTTGTGTGGTGAACATTTTAACCATCAAGCCATTTTGCTGGCACTTTTTTTGTTCTCTTGAGATAGGCTTTTGCTGTGCAGCTCAGGTTGGCTTTAACTTCACAGTCATGTGCCAGCCCTCCAGCCTTATTCTGTTTAATTTTCTCTGCTGACCTTTTGCTCAAGCTGCTTTTATCTTGTGGATTGGTTGATTGATTGATTGATAGATCATTCTATAATGTCTAGTAAGCTTCAGACTTTAGGCTCAAGGGATCTTCCTTTAGCCTCTTGAATAGCTGTGATCAGAAATGCATGCCACCATGATGGGCTGGAATACATGTATATAGGCTTATTTTTCTTTCAACTCTTAGAATTCTTTGAATGCTAAATTAGGGGTTGAAGGCTTTGGTTAAAGTAGGTTGAAGTCTTGATGTTATATCAAATTTAAGTTTAAGATTTCTGTGATTAGCTGGGTGCGATGGCACGCATCTGTGATCCTAGCACTCATTCAGAGGCTGTTGGATATTTATGACTTCGAGGTTAGCCTGGTCTACAAAGTGAGTTCAGGATAGTCAAGGCTACACAGGGAAACCCTGTTTTGAAATGCTCCCCAAACCCTGAAAAAAAAGATTTCTGTAATTAACTAGTTAGTGTGATTTTGGACCTTAAATCAACGTGACAACTGTTCATTTTCTCACTCATTATTAAGGTACACCTTCTCCACTCTTCTGAGGTCCAAGGCTAAGAAACAAACTTTCTTGCTGACTCCTTTTGGGGCACACTTCTATTTAACACTCCCTTTCACTTTAGCCACGGCCCCTCCTGGCTTTCTCTGAGAACTTGGACACTTACTGCCTGGCAGAGGCCCCAGGTTTCCATGTTTGTTCAGGGTTAGATTATCAGAGGCAGTAGGGTAGAAGCCTTGAGGGCAGCAGTGTCAACATTGGTTTCATATTCCTGTTTTAAATTTGAATTTCCTTACTCTTCTGTGAGCTCAGCTATAAATGTAAAAGGATTAAAACATTTTGATGTGGAGTTTGGAGGGTGGCTCAGCAGTTAAGAACACTGGGATCAAACGCATAAACCACTACTGCCCAACTTTACAGAGTATTTTAATGTGTCATTTCTATTTAAAGCACTATGTGTGTGCGTGAGGGGTTGGGTCCACACTGTGTATCTTCCTCCCTTATTCTTTCTCTTATTTTTTGAGACAAGGTCTTCCTCAATTGAACCCAGAGCTCAGCAGCTGGTAGAATGGCTGGGCGTTGTGCTTTAGGGTGTGCCTGTGTCAGTGTCTTTTCTTACCTTAGAGCTGCAGTTGCAGGTACAAGCATCACACCTGCTTTTCCATGGGTATTAGGGAGCAGAACACAGGTCCTCCTGCATGTACCGTGGTCACTTTTCTAACCGAACCATCCCCCAGACCCTGTTTCTGTTCGTTTGTTTGTTTTCCAAGACAGGGTTTCTTTGTGTAGCCTTGGCTGTCCTGAAACTCTCTCTGTAGAATAGGCTAACCTCGAACTCAGAGATCCGCTTGCCTCTGTCTCCTGAGTGCTGGGATTAAAGATGTGCGCCACACCACCTTGCAAAGAGTATTTTAAAGATTTTATTTATTTATTTTATGTATATGAGTGCTCTGTTTTCATGCACACCAGAAGAGGGAATCAGATTCCATTACAGATGGTTGTGAGCCCCCGTGTGGGTGCTGGGACTTGAACTCAGGACCTCTGGAAGAGCAGCCAGTGCTATCTGTCCAGTCCCTGTCAAAAAGTATTTTCATACTTTTTTTTGTCCTAATCACTGAGAAAATTTTTATTTTTGTATGTATTAGATAGAGTCAAGCCATAGCAACATATGCATTAAAAAATTAAGCATGATCTAGAGGCTATGTGTGGCTAGTTTCAGCATTGTCTGGGAGCTTAAGTGTGTTTAAACACCCATTTCGAAATGTTGGAAACACCTGCAGTAGAAAAGACTGAGTTGATCTACCTGTGCTAGGGGAATTGAGGACACTGTCAAGTGTCCTGGTGGTGCCAGCACCATCCTCTTGATAGCATAGAATTTTAATAGCAGTAGTACAAGCAGTTTGTTGACTATTAAGGTATATTGTAAAGAAATTGACTTTTCTTCCTTAGAGTGCTTTATCTACTTCCTTTTTCCCTCCAGGTTACCAAACATTGGGCAGAGTCAAATGATGTGGTATCTAAATCACCAACTCCAGTAGTATGTAGAGCACTGGCAAATAAAATAAAGGACCAAGAGAATGTGTGCACTCCCAAGTCTGCTGGGAAGAATGAAGAACACTTTGTATTTCCTGAGCCCAAGACGCCAGTTAGTAAGAACCAGTATAAGAGAGGAATACTTACCTCACCCAACTGCTACACAACACCTACTAAAGGTATTTCCTAAGAGAATTAAGCAGAGATTTAAAGGTTCAAAGGTAATTCTTACTGTTGTAAATGGACACACAGACTTCTGGAAATAACTAGCCTTGTTCTTTGTCTTCAAGAGTAGGTTAGCTGCCTTCATCATATGCACTTGAATTAGTGCAAATGGACACATCACTTATAATTCTCAGATGGTGCTTTTATTTTCTTTTCCTCATTTAAAGTCTTTTTAGATTTTAATTTATTCTGTGCCTGTGTGTGTGTGTGTGTGTGTGTGTGCATACATGCTGTGTGTGGGGTACCCAAGGAGGCTTAAAGAGGATGGAGCCCCTTGGAGCTGGTGTTACAGGTAGGTCAGCCACCTGATGTGGGTGCTGGGAACCAACTCTGGTCCCCTCTGGAAGCACAGTAAGCACTCTTGGCTGTTTAGCCATCTCTTCAGCCCCTCTGTCACATTTGAGTTATTAAGTCATAGCACTAAGATAGCAACTTAGAGCTTGTCATATTTCCACAGTGTAGGGACCTGAGACTCAGAGGAGCAGAGTGCTTTGCCAAGGTCATATGTCCAGGCTTAGCCCTCGTTAACTCTACTGGGAATCACTCAGGTCAGGGTAGGGTTTCAGCTGAGTTCTTATCTCTAGGCCTTTGTCCTGCTAATCTGGTCCAGTCCTGCCCTGCAGTAGTACCGCCAGAGTCCAGAAGGCAGGGAGGCTGTGACTTTCTTCCAACCTTCACATGACTCTTGCTTTCCTCTTCAGTGTGATCGCACCATTTGTTTTGGTTGCTGTCTCATCTGGATACATTGTACTGTGTCAGTGTGAGGCCAGTTTGCTAGGATGGACTCTCCCCAAGATGAGCAGTCCATGTATGCAGTAGCACTCTGTCCTGGTTACCGCAGACTCTCATGCTTTGAGTAGGGCCATATTTGCTGAGTGAAGGAATAAAGCAGAGCTGGAAGCAACTTTATTTACCTTGATCTATTGTCTGTCACTTTTGACAAAAGAAGCTGAGCTTCATCAACCTCCTCCCTTCTCTTGTGCTGTATTGAGATCCTAAAGAACCCCAGTTCTGAGGAGGTGCCCTGTCAACTCCTGTAAGTCCCCTCTACCAGTGTCTTCTGATTTGATAGTAGGGCCTACATCCCCTTCAAGAGGTCATTGTATATACATGAAGACATTGTGGAAGATTTTGCTTAAACATTTGCAAGAGTTCCATTATTGTGTTAATGGAATTTTGCATTTCATCAACTTATAGTCATCTCCAAATGTGAAGCCAGTTTGGTATGATGAGGTGTTTGTGTGTAGCTGCTTGTATTTGTCTCAAAAATTGCAGGTTTATTGAGAACAGCAGCCCATAGTAGGACCTCAAAAGTAGTTGCCATTTCACCTTTCCCCAATAAAGCGTCTTCTTTCTTGTTATTCTTCTTAAGATTATTTATTATGTATACAGTGTTTTGTTTGTATATATACCTGCATGCCAGAAGAGGGCACCAGATCTATTACAGATGGTTATGAGCTGCCATGTGGTTGCTGGGAATTGAATTCAGGTCCTCTGGAAAAACAGACAGTGTTCTTAAACCGCTGAGCCATCTCTCCAGCCCTTAACAGCTATTTTTAATTACTTTTTTTTGTTGTTGTTCTGATGAAACTAGGAAAAATAGAATTTTTTAGTTAAAAACAAAACAAAATCTCTACTTAAAAACTGTCGTATCACCACTAAGAGGAATAAGTCCTGTGTGTATGTGTGTCTTGCTGGGGATTGAACACAGGGCATGCTGGGTAGGTGCTTTACTACTCTGCTGTATCTCCAACGCTATAAAACTTTTAGATCGCAAGAAAAGTCAGTCAGAGGTAACCAGACCTGTTGATACACACTGTCACAGACCCTACCTCATCTAGGGAAAAACATGAACTTCTGGAGCAAAGAAACAGTCAGACAAACTAATTAAAAAATTAGCTAAGCTCATTCTACACTTTTGTCAAAGTTCAGAAGGGGATCAGATTCTTTACCTGACAAATTAAATTGGGTTGTGAATTGAATTAATACTTTTCAAGTATGCTTCAGTTTGTAGTGAGGTTTATGTTTTGTTTTACGTTGTTACCTGTAAGACAGAATGATTTCTTTTTTTGAGGAGGTTTTGTTTTGAGACTCAGGCTGACCTCAGACTTGCTGTGCCGCAGAGGATGGCCTCGATCCTGCCTCCGCCTCCTGAGTGCTGGAGTTACAGGTGCCCTTTACCACATAAGGTGATTTTGTTCTTAATACAGATCACATGGAAACATTTTCCTTCAGTAATTTTACTGGCCAAGTGGTACCAGTGTTTTGGAGCCAATGAAGGAAGTGATGTGTTGATTAAAGTGTTGGGGTCATGTCAGCTACACGTGATTTGTGTTTGTTGTTTTTCCAATAGCTAGACAGCAGTGCCTGAGAGAAGCCCAAGTTAGAACGCCAGTGAATTCCGCAGGAGCAGACACGTTGATGACAAGTGTCATTAGCCCTGAGAGGAGGTGAGTGTTGCTTTTCAGACTTTTTAGTCTGGGTCCCGGGGTTACTCTTTTTATCCAGGAGAATAGCCTGACAGAGGGAACCCAGACAGATGCTGCTGCAACTGGGAATGTCTGTCTGCGTGAGGATGGTCTGTGGCGGAGCGAGGTGACTGCAGTTCTTGCTCTGCCTTCTCCGGGTGAAGTCACGAACCTGATCAGCTGTGGGGCTGATAGCTTAAAGCACAGCAAGCTGGGAAGACAGGGTCCCTGCCTCTGGCTCTGCAGCTCCTTCTCCAGGGCCTACTTACATTATTTCTCTGCCAGTAGAGTGTAGGTGTACACTAACAGTCAGCATTCCCCCAAGCATTTTAATTGGTAAAATACTAATTTATGTTACAGAGAAAACCAACTCTCTTCTTTCAGATGGAAAGTCCCAAAGCATAAGCGAGCCTTCATTGCCTTGGTAGTTGTTTGTAGATGCATGATCTGTTTGGGGGAAATAGAGCATAGAGTGACTATTAGATGATGCTTCAGTTATTATGAGCTTTTTTCTGTTGTTGCTATTGTGGCTGGGTAGGAAGATATTCGTTGGAGGCGAACACAGTGTTTCTGAGTGAGGTATTACACAAGCACGCAGACGTGCTTAGTCTATGTATTGTGTGTACACACAGAGAAAGCCGCTCCCCAAATATCAGTAGTTGCTGACCCTACGAGGACACGTGGGTGTTTGTTGTACTGGTGTTCTGATGTTCCTGTGTTTGATTTAAACGAGTGTTTAAATCAAGGAGCTAGGCCTTGTGGCATAAGCCTGGAATCCAAGCTACTTGGGAAGCTGAGGGAGGAGGACTGCAAGTTCAAGGCCAGCCTGAGAAACTTGATGAAGTTCCTGTCACAAAAATAAAAAATAAAAGAAGGTTGGGGAATAAAGCACACTGGTAGAATGCTTTCCTAGTGCAAATGGGGACCTAGGCTTAATACCTGACAGCTCCCAAACAAACGAATGAATGAAAGGACAAGTAGATTGGTGGAGATAGATTTAATGTCTCTTCTCCTGAGGAGGACTGAGGTGATCTGGCTCTGGCATACCTGCCTGTGGCCCTTGGTGCATGTCCCAGAGCCATGAGGGCAGCAGGATAGTGCCATGAGTGCCATGTTGGTTTTTAAGGTGCCGATCAATGGAAGTGGATCTCAACCAGACACACTTGGAGGATACCCCTAAAAGGAAAGGAACCAATGTGTTTGGGAGCCTTGAGAGAGGATTGGATAAGGTTCTCACTGCACTCACCAGGAGCAAAAAGAAGGGGTCTGCCAAAGACGGGCCAAGAAGACGAAAGGTAAGTGAGCCAGAGTCTATTACAGATTTCTGAGGCTGACTCTTAACTGGTGTCTCTCTAGCCCACCCTTCCTTCTTGCAGGGTTTCTGGCCAAGGCTGGTCTTAAACCAGGGCAACTACCTTCCCTTAGCCTCCCAAATTCTGGGTTCACCACCACTTGTGTTGGTGTTGATGTGTGTGTGTGTGTGTGTGTGTGTGTGTGTGTGTGTGTGTGTCTGTGTCCATATTTGTACATATGTGTACATATATATGTACATGCCACTGCTCATCCATGGGATCCAAGGACTAACACAGGGATCAGTTTTGCAGGTCAACCCTTTTGTCTTCTGAGCTATCTTGCCAGCTCATCTTTTTGCTTTTTAAAAAGAAATATATCAAATAAATTTACTGTTTTTATTAAATTTCCTATTTGTTTGTTTGTATACATTTTTTGAGTAGTTAATACAGGCATGTTCTTATGTGGTAGGTTTTAAGGATGCAGAGGTAGAGTGGAGAGGTGGCTCAGTGGTTAAGAGCATTTGTGGTCTTGCGAGAGGACCTGAGTTCAGGTCTCAGCACCCATAGTGGTGGCTCACAACCACCCATAATTCCAGCTGTAGAAGATCTGATGCCCTCTTGTGGCCTCTGCAGACACTAGGCGCATATGGGATGAACAGGCATGTAGACGAAACAGTCATACATGTAACATAACAGCCTAAAAATACAATTTTAAAAGAATGCAGAGGTAATTTAGATACAGTTGCTCTCTTCAAAGAACATGTAATTATACTTTAAATAATTCAGAATCACACAGATTGATCGCAGGACAACAGAGAGGTGGGGAAAACACAGGATATATATGGGAAACTAAGAGCTGCAGACTCGAGCTTAGTCGTCCTGTGTCTGACACATGAAAGAGTCCCTGATACATAGATACCTTTATAGTTCTTGTGAAATATATGCATGCGTGGAAAGTTAATTTGAACGTTTTAAAAACAGTTGTTTATTGTGTGCGCATGCATACCACAGTGCACATGCTGAGGTCAGAGGACAACTTGCAGGAATCTGGTTTCTTCATCTGCTGTGTGGGTCCTGGGGATTGAACTCGGGTCATCTGGCTTGGGAGGAAGCCTTTTTATTCCCGGAACCATCTTTGAGTATGTGTAAGGATAACAGTGAGCAACAGGTTGGGAAGCCAGGCTGCAAAGCTGTTAAGGGCCTGGTTAAGAAGTTTGCACCTTATTTAATAACCCTGCTACATTTTAGAATAGATAATACACTTGGTGGGGAAGGGATAAATTTTATTTCTGTGAAGAGATACCACAGCTACTCTTATAAAAGGAAGCATGTGATTAGGGGCTTGCTAACAGTTTCAGGGGTTTAGTCTATTATCATCATGGTGGGCATGGTGGGAAGCATGGCATCGGGCATGGTGGGCATGGTGTTGGAGAAGTAGCTGGAGCTACATCCTGATCTGCAGGCAGTAGAGAGAGAGCTACTGGGTCTTGCATAAGCTTTTGAAACCTCAAAGCCCAACCCAAGTGACTTTAACAAGTCCACACCTTTAACAAGGCCACACCTCCTAATCCTTATAAACTTTTCGAATATTTCTACTCCATGTAGGGGCCATTCCTATTCAGACCACCACATTCTACTCTCTGGCTCCCATAGGCTTTTAGCCATATCTTAATGAAAAAGTGCATTCAGTCCGACTTGGAAGTCCTCATAGTCTGTCAGTCTCGACACTACTTAAAAGTTTTGAGTCTTCTGAGACTCACAAAAAGCTCTTAACTATTAAACCTCTGTAAAATCAAAGCCAAAAACTTGATCACATACTTTCAACATACAATGTCACAGAATGTACATTACCATTCCAAAAGGGAGGAAAGGGAAAATAGTGAGGAAATTCTGGATGACCAAAAACCATCTGAGCAAACTGCCAATTCTGTACCGCCATGTCTGATGTCAAGGTGCTCTTCAGAACTCCAATTCCTTTTAGCTTTGTTTACTGCAACACACTTCTCTTGGGCTGGTCCCACCTCCTGTTAGCAGCTTTCCTTGGTAGGTATCTCACAACTCTAGCATCTCCAACATCTTGTCTCACATAATCCAGGCTTCACCCTCACAGCTTCACACAGTGGCCTCTCTTGGCCTCCATTCCGGGATACCGCTCACATGACTGGCCTCAGCAGGGGGAATTGCATAACCCCCTTTTTATTTTTATCCTTGACTCTAATGCCAGAACTGTGTGTACATGCACACACTTACACACATACATGATGAAATGTGAAAGTCTGGTAAGTAAGGAAGATTGAACATAGAAGATTGACATGAGGTTAGTGAGTAAAGTGGTGTCAGTGGGTAAAGATGTCAACTATTTAAGCCTGATGACCTGAGTTCAATCCCTGAACTCAGAAAGGTGAAAGAAGAGAAACAGCTTCACAGAGCCATTGCTCCTACCTTCACACACGCTGTGGTTCACTCATGCTCTTAAATATATCGCATCTACACACACATGCACACACACTTTTATTTATTCATCTATTTGGTTTTTTGAGGCAGGGTTTTTCTGTGTAGCCTTGGCTGTCCTAGAACTCTGTCTCTCTATAGACCAGGCTACCCTCAAACTCAGAGTGATCCTCCTGCCTCTGCCTCCCAAGAGCTGAGATTAAAAGTGTGCTCCATCGTCGCCTGGTGCACAGTTTTCTTTTAGTGGGATAATACAGTTGCTTCTGATGAAGACTTCCCTGACTTCCCCATGCTCCGCTAATGGAGCTAGCTGGCTTGGCTGGCTCTTCTCGCAGTGTGTTTTCTTGAAGACTTCCCACTTGAAAAGTGTGTCTTGGGATTTTGTGTTGATGTGGAGTTTGACTCTGCATACCCTTTTCTTTTTAAGCTGCACTATAACGTGACTACAACTAGGCTGGTGAATCCCGACCAGCTCCTGAGTGAAATAATGGCTGTTCTTCCAAAGAAAAATGTGGACTTCGTACAGAAAGGGTAAGAAGCTCACCACCACCATGTGCTCTTCACCTCACTGTCGGGCACTGGGAATCTTGTCTCCCACCTTGCCCTCGAGTAAGAATTCTCCTGTCACTCTCCAAAACTGAGCTATGATAGTGCATTCTTCATAACCGCTTTTCTTTTGAGCTGAAAGCACTCATGGTCACCAATTTCAAGGTTAGACTTTCATCTCAGAATTAGGAAATCTGGACTTCAATTTATTTTAGGACAGTCTTGTATATTCTTTGATATTTTTTTTTTGGTTTTTTATAACTGTTTATCAGTTATAACATTAATCAGTGAGACACTTTGGGAAAGTAAAGGTTACTAGATTGCTTCTCTATGACTACTTATGGAGTTGTGTTTTTGGTCGGCTAAAAGGTACTTGGCTGAATGAGCTGCTGTTAGGAGGCTCCATGGGTTCTGAGGAACTAGGCCTCTTCTGGTAAGGCAAACTGTTCCTGTTTCTAAGAACTTCAATAACATGTCTTTTAAATGACTCCTTTTAATTTTAGTTTTTATTTTGTGTGTATGGATGGTTGGACACCATTCAGGGACGCCGCTGACATGACTGGCCTCAGCAGCTTTCCTTAGCCATGGAGGGGGATTTCACAACCCCCTTTTTATTTTTATCCTTGACTCTAAAGTCAGAACTGTGTGTACATGTACACACTTAGACACATACATGATGAAATGTAACTTAAAAAATGTAAAAGTTTGGTAAGTAAGGAAAATGAACATAGAAGATTGATATGAGGTTAGTGTGTGCCTGGGGCTTACAGAGGCCAGAAGACGGCATCAGATCCCCTGAACTAGAGTTACAGATCATTGTGAACTGTCCTATTGATGCTAAGAATTGAACCTGGGTCCTCTGGAAGAGCAACCAGTGCTCCTAACCACTGAGCCATCTCTGGATCATCACTGAACTTCTGGGAAGATAGTCATACCCCATCATTACAGCATAGCTAGGCCAGTTGGAAACTGTAAGGAGAATATACTGCTTAGAGTGAAATAATAGTTCATTTCCCCACCAGCTCCTAGAAGCCTAGAACCCTCTTGCATTATCCCCAATACTTACGGCTCCCTAATTACCTGGTATCTTGTGTTTTTCAGTTACACACTAAAGTGTCAGACACAGTCTGATTTTGGCAAAGTGACAATGCAGTTTGAACTAGAAGTGTGCCAGCTTCAGAGGTCTGACGTGGTGGGTATCCGGAGACAGCGGCTTAAGGGTGATGCCTGGGTTTACAAGAGATTAGTGGAAGATATTCTGTCTAGCTGTAAGATGTGATTGATGGGTGGCTTCCGCCCTGCCTGGAAGAATGTGGGTGGTGCTGCACACGAGACCGTGTGGTTGGTTGGATTTTCAAGCCCATTGGAGCTACAAGCTTATTTCTAAATAGCCACCTTCAAGACCAGTGCCTTTTTGCTTTTCAACAAAAATTTTCATTTTGTGGCTGAATCCCCAGCAACTCTGCTGTCATTATCTGTTACTCTCCTTTTCTAATCATGTAGCTTGCTGTGCTAGTGACTGTCAGTTTCTCTGTATTCACTTCCAGAGGGGATGCCAGCTCTTCCTGTGACTCATTTTGATGTACAGTTTCTTTCTGAGCTAAAACCATTTGTGAATATATCAGGCATCTTTTTGTATCTGTTTTTGATCCAAATAAAACCTCGAATGGCTTCCTGACTGCTAAGTAGAGACTATTTGGAGTGTGTTTTATCTGTTATCAAATATGCCTTGGGCAGAAAAACAGATAAGAATTCATTTGCATAATTTTTTCCTGTCTCTGATTTAAGTAGGATTTATTGAGATCGTTAACTAAGTCGCAGCTGTGGTTACTAGAGTTAAACAACACATTTAATATGTGGAATAAAAGCGTATTGACTTCAGTAAGTATGTCCAGTCAACAATGATAAGTGTCCCAACTGCAGGCCCCATGAAATGCTGCTTTATGGTAATCTCTCTAAGTCTCAACGTTGGCCCCAAATTTGTATTTTTATTTCATTTTATTGGTCTCTAAAGGCCAGAACTCAAGTTACGTTTGTATGGATTTTACCAGTTAAACTAGTTGGAGAAAAAATAGCACTGTTTCTGGTCAGTAGCTCGGGAATGTTTTGTCATTCATTTATTCAATAAACATTTACTGGGTGCTTACAAGCATTTGGTCCTGTAGCGGAAACTGGTACTGTTCTGCAAAGCAGGGAGTTCGCAGTTTTGTTATTAGGGCAAGATGTTTTCCATAGTCACACATGATCTGACGGTAGGAACGATATCTTGAGAAAAATAGCATTTATTGTTGACAAATCCACAGGGATACACCAGACAGAAGTGGGAAGCACGATCTTAACAGAGTCTCTGCAAAGGCAAAGCGTTTTCAGATGGTGCTGAAGAGGGATTTTAAGTGGAAATGAGACTAAGTTTTGAGAGAAAATAGATGAAAGTTGGAAATGGAGCCAAGAATAAACCCTGAGGACCTTGAGTGCCCCCGAGGGGAGCGCCTTGGGCCAGGGGAGCCGCTGCAGGGCTTCCCACCTTTTAGTGACAGCTTTGTCGACTTACCACAATGTAAGCTGCATACTACCAGTTCCACCTGTTAAAATAGTGAATGCAGATCTTAAAGCGTGTTCATGGGGTGGTGAAATGACTGAGTAGGTGAAGGTGTTCACTGCCAAGCACACCCAGAACCCACGTGGTGGAGGGAACTGACTCCGCTCTTGATTTCTACATGCATGCCAGGCCATGCTCTCCTTCCTCCCTTCCTCTCTCCCATGACAGAATAAGTGTAAACATTTTTATTAAAAAATAAATAAGTGGACCTGGAGAGATGGCTCAGAGGTTAAGAGCACTGGCTGTTCTTCCAAAGGTCCTGAGTTAATTCCCAGCAACTACATGGTGGCTTATAACTAACTATAGTGAAATCTGGTGCGGTCTTCTGGTGTGCAGGAGGAATGCTGTATAAATAATAAATCTTTAAATAAATAAATAAATAAATAAATAAATAAATAAATAAATAAATAAATAAGGACTTGAGGGGTAGCTCACTGGTCAAAGCACTTAACATCCAAGTGTGAAAAGCAGAGTTAGGATTCCCAGAACCCTTGCAACTGCCTGCATGGAATTCTAGCCTCAGAAAGTGGAGATGGAATTCCTCAGGGCAAGGTGCAAGCTCTAAATTTGAGGGACCTTGCTCAGTGAACATGGTGGAAGACTGAGGAGGGATGTTGCTGGCACCAACCTCGGGCTCCAAATGTATGTGCACACATGAAGACATATACACACACATGCACACATTTGAAAACGGGAACAAGTAAAGCTTATTTCTAAGATTACGCCACCATCACCACAATCTCATTTTGTAAGATTCTTATCCTAACAGAAACTATGCCACTGTGAAGACTCTCCATTCCCCCACCCCATAGCCCTGCTTTCTGTCTTTACAGAGTAACTAATGCACAATTCCTAAAAATATGCTCCAGTTTTACTCAGTTGCTCTGACAGAGATACCACGACCAAGAAGCAAGGTGGGCACAGGAAGGGTTTTTTTGTATTACGCTTCTAGGCCACAGTCCACTGTTGAGGGAAATCAGGGTAGGAGCTCAAGGGCAGAAATCACGAGGAAACACTGCTTGCTGGCTTTCTTGCAGACCCATGTTTACTGCCTTACATTTTGTTTTTTAAATTATTTATGTGTGTACCTATGTGTGGACTTGTAGACGTTAGTACAGGTGCCCTTGGAGGTTAGAGGAGGGCATTGAATTCCTCGGAGGTGGGCACTTGGGAGGCACATGATGTGGAAATTGAGCTTGGGTCCTCCGGAAGAACAGTGTGTGCTCTTTAATCACTAAAGCATCTCTTCAGCCCCAGCTAGCTTTCTTACGTGGCTCAGAAACATCTGTCCACGGAATGGTGCTGCCTACAGTGGACCAGGCCCTCCCACATCAATTAATGATTAAGGTAATCCCTCACAGACAAAACTACAGGCCATTCTGATGTAGGCAATTGCTCAGTCTAGAATTTCAGATGTTCTAGGCTGTGTCAGGTTGACAAAGCTATTGAGAAAGTAAGGCCATGGTTTTTGTTTGTTTAGCTTTTTTTATGTGTATGGATTTCCTAACTTGATGGTGAATTTTGAGGGACAAAAGTTTTAATTTTCTGAAGCCCAGTTTATCTGTTCTTGGAAGGCATAGGACTGTTCACCCTTCTGGCTCTATGGAGAAAGGCATCATCTAGAAAGTGAATCTCAGAATAATGTTTACCAAAAATCACAGCAAATTCATATAATGTAAGCCCTTCTACATTAGTGTCTCACTTGAGGATTTTAAGGAAAGAGTTTTGAAGCCATAAATTAGAAATCAATTGGGGAAGCATAGAAGCAGCCAGCTGGGGGTCCTGATCCACTGAGAGTCTTGAGCACAGCAGGGTCTCTGTGGGTGAGGCTTCAGGAAAAAAACAAGTAGGAGCAGAAAGATGACAGCAGGTCAGACAATCATCCAGTAGACACAACTGGGGAAGCTGCAGCAATTGGCTAGAATTCCCTATTGAGCTCTTTTTTAGCTTCCTCTTCTCACTGTAGGGATTTTTATAGAATAAACAATAGGAATCTGTTAGAAATAGTTTACTTTCTAGTTCTCAAGGACTCATTGTTTTTTTACTCTTGGGCTGTTTTGTTGATCTCTTCCCTCCCTGTCACAGAGTTAGGGGAAACCAGCCCATCCCCAGAGAAGAAGCTTTGGAGGACACTTCAAGACAAAGATGCTTGGATTTGAAATGAGAGGGGGCAAGGCAGGGTTTTGCTATGTAGCCTAGCCTGGCTTGGAACTGAAGATCCTCCTGCCTCAGCCTCCTGAGTATTGGGATTGTAGCTATATGCTATTACTGATACTCTTTCTCTATTAAGTATTAGTTATGGGTTTGTGTGTGTGTGTGTGAGTGTAGGTGTCTGAGGATGCCAAAAGAGGGCTTCAGATCCCCTGGAGCTGGAGTTGGGGTTGGTAGTAAGCCACCTGATGTGGGAATTGGGAACCAAACTTGTGTCCTCTGGAAGAGTAGTATATGTCCTTAACTGTTGAACTAACTCTCCAGCCCCCTGTAAAACATTTAGTTTGACTAGTGTAGTCTTTGCCTTTTAACTGCATTTACTTTAGTAATTCCTTTCTGGGGCATCAAGTTTATTGAGAGATAATTTACATAGCGTAGACCTACCCTTGTTAGTTACATAGTTTGGGAAGTAAATGTGGTCATGAAATTACCACTGTAGCCGGAATGGGGGTTATATCATGTCCTTTTATTGTCAGTCTCTGTCCCTGCCCCCAACCCCTGCTCCCACTCTTGCCTGATTTCCATCTTTTTTAGAAGATGGGGTCACATGTATCCCAGGCTGGCTTCAACCTTGGGATAGCCAAGGAAAACCATAAACTTCTGATCTCCCTGCCCCTGCCTCTCAAGTGCTAGGTTTACAGGCATGTGCCACCATAAGCTAGTTTATGGGGCACTGGAAATTGAACCCACACTTGTGAGTGCTGGGTCCAAGCATAATGACACCTGAGCTCTACCACAGCCCTGTTTCTGTTTCTTTGAGACAGTCTTCGCTGTAGACCCAGCTAGCCGAGTGCTTGCTGATTTGAGTCGCCTGAGTGCTAAGATTGCAGACCCTCACCGCCATGTCCAACTGTGAAAGTTTCGTTTGTCAAGCGTGTTATTATGCAATCATTTGCCATGTGGAGTTTCTATCTGGGGTGTAACTTCTTTCACTTAACGTGATTCTGAGATTTGTTCGTATCATTGTCTGTATTAGTAACTAGTTTTTATTGTTGAATAATGTCTGTCAGTTCATCCCTAATCTAAAAATCTAAAAATGACTGTGTGTGTATGTATATGTGTGTATGTTTGTGTGTGTGTCCATCCCCTGAGTTCTAATCCCCTAGAGAGCCCTGACAACTGTAGATATATTGACTTCATAATTTTCTGACTTTCCTAAACTTACATATCCTAGTAGCTTTTTTGGAGGGTGGGGGTGGATTCTTAAGCATTTTCTGTGTATGTAACTGTCCATTTATGAACACAGCCATTTTTTTGCCTTTTCAGTCTGTATGCCCTTTGCCCATTTCATTTATCATTTAGGACCTCCAGTTGCTATGGTTAGTATTATCAACTGGACAGAATCTAGAATTGACAACGGTTGGGCCTCTGGCCATGCCTGTGGGGTATTGTTTTGTTGTTGTTCTTGGTTTTTTTTGGTGGGGGGGGAGTTCAAGACAGGGTTTCTCAGTGTAGCTTTGGCTATCCTGGACTCACTTTGTATTACCAGGCTGGCGCTGAACTCACAGAGATCCACCTGCCTCTGCCCCGAGTACTGGGAATAAAGGTGTGTGCCACTATGCCAGGCTGGGTATTGTCTTGATTGCATTAATTGATGCAGGAAGACACCCCCACCCCATGTGGATGGCACCATTTCTTGGGCTGGGTGATGGACTGAGTGAAAATGGGATGAGCTGAGTCATTGTGCTATGCTTCATGACTGGGGACCCACTGTGATCAGATATCTGAGCTCCCGCTGTGGTGGCTTTATTCTGACTGAATAAACCCTCAGCCAGAATAAACCCTTTCTCCCTTGTAGTGACAGGAAAAGACTAAGACACCAGGATAACATTGTGATTAAAGTGACTTTAGAAGA